TCAAAGAAAGTCTGGATGGATTCTGGGGTAGAAGTTCTTAAACTTTGGTTCCAAGATAACGGTAGTAATCAAGAAGTCTTATATGATCTGACTATGAAATCTGTTATACACAATGGCCAAATATTAATATATTCTCAATATACTTTATTGATGTCTTTTTTAACTAAGAGAATACAATTGTATGTTCAGTGTAATTGAAAATTGGTAGTTTTTGAGAGCTGTTCTTTATCATGCTAAAATAGTTTTTCATTGATTTAAGGAACACTTTTGGAGTAATGTTCTAATGAATGTCTTGATCATTACGAGTTCTATAAGTGATTGAGCTAAACAACACATAAATTTTTAATAGTTTTTGTGAACTTGAAGTTTGAGTGATTATTACAATTAGTGGCGAACTAAGGCTGTATTGACACCACAACTACGTAGAATGTTTATGGTTTATGAATGTTATATATTCTTTGGAGAATAGCAATAATAAATAGATCAATACGTATTTTATTGAACTTTCAAATAATATTCTCAACATTATTTAGATTTATCTATTTTGCTATTAGACAAAAAATGCTAGATTGCGTTTAAAGTTACGAATTTAGCTTATTTTATTAAGTATTGAACGAAATAAAACACATTCTATACCAATATCTCAGTTAGTTCACTTCGAAATATTATGTTTTATTCGTTTTTACTCTTCAGTTAATATAAAGTAAAAAATTAATTTGTTAATTTCATAGTAATTATAGTATAAAGTACCTACTCTTACCGTGGGTGGGTAAGTTATGCACTTGAACGATTCTCTTCATAAATGAAGCGTCACTTCACTGATTCTTTGAAGGTATTAAATTCTATACTAATTAAATCACTGGATATTCATTTAATTATATATTATATAAAAATAGAAAAAATATTAAACTTCAAAAAAATTATTAGTACGTGATCTTTGAAGAATTTGAATTTTGTTATTATGTCTAAATTAGGAGTGAATGAGAGTTTATTTACAACTAGCTTTCCGTACGCAGATTCTCCCGTGTGGAGTTCGGTTATATCGCGTTTCCAAGAAAACTTTCCAAAAGTCTGGAATAAAAACTATCCTATGTTCTTTCTCAAGGTCAACTCTATCTCTGTACCAAATTTCATTTAAATCTGTTCAATGGTTTAGGCGTGAAAGCGTAACAGACAGACAGACAGAGTTACTTTCGCATTTATAATATAAGTAGGGATTTAAGTCACAGAAATGATGATAATGAAAAAAGGAATGGAAGTTGTTATAAGTCTTACAACTGGAATAGATACAGTATGATCAATAATAATTAATACATCATGATCCATGACAGGTTCTGTTAATTAATATATGATTAAATAGTATTTTATCTTTCTAACTTCACCCTGTATTTTTTGCTAGGGAGAAATTGTTTGCTTTATAACTTACTAGCTGACCCGGCAGACTTCGTACTGCCTCAATCGATAAATAAATATTTTTTTGGAGTTTATATGAAAGCCATAAATCTCAGTGTTCTGGAAGTGCGACAGAATGATTGACATATTAGTTAGTTGTCAAATCTAATGTCAAACAAAAGTTTTGTATGGGAAATAGAAAAGCGCTGTTTTTAGGGTTTTCCCGGAAATGATTCAAGTTTTTTTCAGCTTTTAAACCTTCCCTGAACCTCCACGAACATTTCAAGACTAAGATAAGATAAATCCGTTCAGTCGTTCTCAAGTTTTAGTGAGACTAACGAACAGCAATACATTTTTATATATGTATATAGACTTTATTGGTAAGTAAAGATGTTCAATAGTAGATATTTTTATATCCTTTTAATAGTATAGCTGACATTTTCGAGCGATATTATTATAAGCTATAATAGAGCTATTAAAGTCTTATGTTGAATATATATTTTTTTTCGATTCCCGTTTCTGTTTAACGCCGTAGATAGTATTGGCGTTGATCATCTCACGGTACGCATACTTGTTTAACAATGTTGAGAAGCAATACTATATAAGATTAGTTCATGAAAGCGTATAACAATGGTATGGGAGATGTAGTGGCATCGTTTGTTATGGCATTTTTTGTATGGTGCCGTTGGAAATAGTCGTAGTAACGGCTAGCCACAGAAACAGAAGACTTACACTTAGCCACAGAAATAGAAGACTAACACTTAGCCACAGAAACAGAAGACTTACACTTAGCCACAGAAACAGAAGACTCTCTTGTACTTTCGTCGGAGATTCACGGCTTTTTGTCCACTTTGTCAGAACAAAATTTTGATGGCCAATTAAAAAGTTTTATATGTTGTGGCGATAATTATTATAAAAAAAAATATTCAATCGGCATAGCTATATATTCTTCAGCCATTGTTTCCCAAACGAGTTTCGCGGATGGTAAAAAGTGTGTAGCTGTTGGGGGAATGTATCATGGGACGGCGTTCACGGAGGCATCTCATCCGGAATCTCTAATTAAAACTTTGTCTAGCTAACATCTATTTGTTGGAATTTCGATATAGAAAGAACTTTAAACTGGTAATTACTGATTTAAATTTTTTTTATCCTTCCCTTTGTTCATTATGTTGAGAAGAATATACAAAAATATAAATCGAAAAAAATCTTATTTCATGAATCGTAATTTCAAAAAGATTAATTTATATTTCTTGTTTGTATTTCACATTAATATAATATATTTATATATCTTTTCGTTCGTTTCGTAATTTTTTCTTGTAATTCATCATCTCATATCATTATTGAAGTTAAAGAAATTGTAATTATGTTTTAAGTTTCGAGACAAGTTATTACATTTGTATGACTTTTTATGATAATCGAATAACATTTGTATGAAATGATCTGACATCAATCAAGTATGATAAGGATTTTAATTGAATTTTTTTTTACGTAAATAGTGGACATAAAATATTTTGAATATTCCCTCTATTTTAAGAATGTCTCTTAGTTAACACAAAAAGTAATTAACGTATTTACATTACACATCCAGAATTGTAGCTTATATCCCTACTAATATTATAAATACGAAAGTAACTCTGTCTGTCTGTCACGCTTTCACGCATAAACCTCAGAACTGATTGTAATGACATTTGGTACAGATATAGAGTTGACCTTGGGAAAGAACATAGGATAGTTTTTATCCCAGACTTTTGAAAGGTCCTCTTGGAAACGCGATATAAGCGAACTCCACGCGGGCGAAGCTGCGGGCGGAAAGCTAGTATCAGAATAATTTGAAATACACTATGATTTAAGTATTGCTCGAAATGTTCACACTATCACATCATAGGTTTTGTACCACATATAGAAATGAAGATGGCAAAATTGTCCTTAAATTATCTTCCAAAGTAAATACTAAATTCCCTACTGGTCTGGAATATAACAGGTTCTGTTTTCAGCCTTTCTTGGTCGTACAAGAAACTGGCATTTCCACATATTGCTTAAAACTAACTGTATGTTTATCGATTACACCCTGAGTATTAAAAACGCGTCGACTTATTCAGATAAGCAACATTGTAATGAAAAAAATTTATAACAATTTTTATAATATTGATATAAAGGTATTAAGATGTCGGTTTTTCTCGTTTTAACACCTGTTGTGAATTTTTTTATCGATAGGTTACAAAAAAAAATATAAATTGTTTCTCATATTCTGCTAGTGTTCATTTTAAAGGTACTCCCTGCTTAAGTAATTTTACGATGTGATAACGTATACTTTGATGGCACTTTTTTATGTTTTTAACATAAAAACTTTTACTAATAAATTTCAATATAATTGTAATATGGTCACTAGTTTTGTTATGAGCAAACAATGTTATATAAATGGCGTCAATTTTACAGAACATGAAATATTTAGACAGTATTTGTGGGATGATGTGGGCGTTTATTGAATATTTATTGTCCTTATCCCATTATTGATTTATACGTCGGCAACAATATCAATGATCGCGTCAAATATCCATTACCCTATAAAACTAAGTGTTATACTAATCAACTAGATTTCCATTAGAGCTTATGTGAAATAATTTCTAAGGAAATCATTTTGATTCACTATTTTGTTATTTTTGAGATTTCAAAATTGCTATTGTCAATGGAAACTTCACCCATCGCTGCCTAGTAACACAACGTTAATGCATTACGTGCTGAAATGACTATTTTACTTATTGAGATATAAATTTATCTTGTCTATCATTAATATAGGGCGTTGGTAGTTTATTAAATGTATGTATGTTTTTGCGTGGTTGACATCTGCCGTCCGCGTTGAACTGTGCTCGCTGACTCGCATCAGAAACTCCGAAATGCTAAAAATGGCATAAATAATTTATACGCGGCTTGCTGTGCTCGGGGCTTTTTGTTGCTGGCACGACTTGACCACTGATGCATTTATAATATAAGGGTGCTTTTTGCAGCGTCCAGTCCACATAGGAATGCTACCGCTAAAATTGATCTCGTTCCAAACGTGGCCTGCATGATAATGGTGGTGCTGTGTCTTCAACGCATTATCGTCATCTTTACACGCCGATACTTATATGTCTGCATGAATTTTTCGCCTGCTCCACCTTATAATGTGTAATAATTCAAAGCGACAAACCACCTTGTGAAAACAAATTGACGCTTTTTCATAGCGGCCTGTCCGTATGATTAACGAAGGGACCCGTTTGCGACACCAATCTTAATAGAATTTAACCGGTAGATGCCTTAATGGATTTCTCTTAACATTTATTTTTATATCGGTGAAGGTTATTGATACTTTACATGGATATTATCAAGATAATTTTGATGATAATATATTTTCGACTCTGTATTTATAGACGTTAAGTCTGTTTTTTGTAATTATTTTTTGTTCTAATGAAGATTCCTTTAACTACTTTGTTAAACTTCTTTTAAACTGTTCTGGTATTCCCGAGTTTTTCCTTTGAGCCTTTTACGAGTTCAGACAGCTCTATAAAAAATGCCATTGTTCTATATAAATGTGTATATTATATGTAAATATAATTGTATTTTTTTTACAGTAAACAGGCTGTATTCGATGGGAAGAGGGCGATACGAGGAGGGATACCATTCGTATTTCGTAAGTTAACACCAACTATTAAGTTAAATGTCACCAAATTTAGAAGTAAGGTCAATTTTCGCTGCCAACTATTGTGCTTTAAGACAGTTAATGTACCTCAATCATGGATTAAAAGCTAAATGGAAACCATTATATTTATCCGGATCTCACAATCCTTATTACTTCCAGGTTAAAGTACAATGTACATGCAATTTATTTAATTAAAAGCAATAAGTATTGCAATATAAAAAGTGTACGAGATCAGTCGTACGAAATGTGTTTTTGTAAATAATTAAATGTACATTACAATACTTAAACATCATTATGTTATAAAAAACGAGTGACTTCTCAATTAAAGGGTGATTATTTGAAAAAAAAATATCAATTATTCCTATTTTGCTGATGCATTTTTTTTCGCCCGTTTTTATACGACTGCCGGGTGTGTTTGATAATTTTGAATTAAATGCATTTAATTTCTTAGATTACATGTAATATAGTTTAATTGACTAATGGAACTAGATAAAAATGTATTGACATTTTGAGTTTGTCACCATACTTTGTTATACATTAATATACAGAGAAAATTGCTCTTTATATAAAGATATTAAACCAGAAGTACTTATGCTCGTTTCTCCTTATTTAGGTAAACGTAGTAGCCCATATGTCGGACTAAAATTAGACTTATGATTATTATACGAGTATTATATTGAAAACTTTGTTATGAAAAAAATATCATTGTATTGAAATTCATTGACAAGTAAGAAAAAATAATTGCTATACCTATATCCTATACAAATATTACTTTTATTATTCTATGTACATAAATTTAAGTATTTCAATCAAGACGGCTAAATAATAACGAAAAATATAACGGGTAAAGACAAAATTTTTGGAAATTTTAATATATGTTTTAGAAAAGATTATTTCATAAAGGGAAGTTTAAGGGAAAATTTATTTTTTGCATCTTGTTAAAAAATATTAAGACGTAGGTATCAAGCAGTCTTAATGAATATCATAAAAGAGTAATAATTTTTAAATATACGGATTTTAAATTTCATATGTCATCAGATAAGATATAAGAAGAAAATATATGTTTGGTTTCTAGACAACTATTTATCGCCGAGCTATCGGATTTTGAATGAGATTATATGATATTGTCCTTATTCATCTATAGCACGAAAAACCTCACAGAAAAACGAAGACAGGTTTCAGAAATTTACGTTAATTCAAACAACAAACATTTGAAAAATCGCTGAAAATATACTTTTCATAAATGCCTTAACTTTTCCACTGATCTACATATTGATACTAGAAGAACCGGCGAACTTCGTATCCCCCTATTATCATGAAATATCTAGTACTTAATTTTATTTATATTTTTGGAGTTTACCTATTAAAGCCGTAAATCTCCGTGTTTTGAATTGCGACAGAATGATTGACATATTAGTTAGTTGTCTAATCTAATGTCAAAAAAACTACTAATAAATTAAAAAATAACTAAAAAACCTTAATCCAGCGGACAAAATTGTGAATCTAAACAATTCCCAGATCCCCTTGAACACACACAAAAAAATTCATCGAAATCGGTCCAGTCGTTTGAGAGAAGTTCAGTGACATACACACTCACAGAAGAATTATACAGGGTGACTGGTGAATTACTATCGATATTTGAGGACGTGATATTTGACGATTATATATGACAAAATAAAAATTAATATAACATAAATATTAATAAACTTCTAAGTAAAGTTAACCAAAAGTTATGTAATTAATTACGCATCGTGTGAACACCCTACAGATTAGGTATACACACACACACACACATACACGCGTCGGCGGCGTGGTGTTGTATCAGCAAGCCGCCGCAAGCGTCCACACTTGGAACACTTGGAACGTGTCCACACTTTATTTATTTATACGGAAATTTGGTCAAAAATTAAGTGCCTATTTTTTTTACATAATTCGAATGAGAATCATGTACCGAGTATTCTCCTTAAATATTGATAGTAATTCACCCGTCACCCTGTATATAAAGATATAAGTACTATATCTATATACGAATTATCTTCACGACCGATTCATAACTGTTTTATTCATTCATTTAATTTTTCTACTAGCTCAATTCGGTCAATGGGCGTTCGGGCCTCAGCATGGGTTCGCGCGCGTGGCTCGCTGGCACGTCGAGAAGATGCCGGAGCGACTGCCTTCAGGAGACGTGGAGGCTGTCTTCAGTCTCATGGATGACGACTTCACGAGATCCATGTGGCACTTCCAGTTAGTATTATATAAGACTAGCTGTCCGCCCGCAGTTTAGCTCGCGTGGAGTTCGGTTATATCGCGTTTCCAAGACTTTTCAAAAGTCTGGGATAAAAATAATCCTATGTTCTTTCGAAGTCAACTCTATCTCTGTACCAAATTTCATTAAAATCAGTTCAGTGGTTTAGGCGTGAAAGCGTAACAGACAGACAGACAGAGTTACTTCCGCATTTATAATATTAGTAGGCATTATTCCATGGCTGCCTCGTAAAGGGCCCATCCATACAGTACGTCACAAGAATTTTAGGACGTTTTCGCCCCTCCCTCCTTCTTCGTCACGTTTTTATATGAGGGGGCTCCTGATGTGACGTCACACATTTATGGTCTCTAAACTATGGAATTGGTAAAAGATCGAAATTACTGTGTAATTAAAAAATTATATCAGTTAGCAAAAACGTGTATAGTAATATGTCTTTATGTTAAATACAACAATTATTTTGTGTACCTACCAGAAATAAATGGGATATCCTAACAAATCTCGAGCACAAGCTATTTATAAATATATTGTAAAGTTTCATTAAAATCTATAAAGTAAATATTATTTAAATAGATTATCCTTGCCAAATGTCTACAAACTAACTAAAGTGAAATCAAATAACCCTTTATAATGATAAAACTAATTAACATGTAAATAAAACATAAACGGCACGAAAATTTAATTACCGAATACCACATCCCAAAATAGCGTTAACAATTATCAAGACCTCAATTGGAAGGGACTGAAAATTACTATTACGACGAAATACAGAGTGTTCAATATATGAACAGTTTATACTAGAAGTGTACAAAGTTGTGTATACATCTGTGTACAAATTTGTGTACAATATTTTCCAGGTTCAGATTGACCTACCGGCTCATATTACGCGAGAAGGAGCTCCACTTCAACATCGGCGTGTACAACCCCAGCAAGGAGCTGACGTTCAGTTGCCAGCTGTTGCTGCACACGTACTTCAAGGTGCCGGACGTGAGGCGCTGTCAGATAACTGGCATGCACGGCTGTATGTTCATTGATAAGGTAAATAATACATATATATACATATACCATATTAGAGTATGTATGAACTAGCTTTCCGCCCGCAGCTTCGCCCGCGTGGAGTTCGGTTATATCGCGTTACAAAGAGAACCTTTCAAAAGTCTGCGATAAAAACTATCCTGTTCTTTTTCAAGGTCAACTCTGTACCAAATTTCATTAAAATTAGTTCAGTGGTTTAGGCGTGAAAGCGTAACAGACAGACAGAGTTACTTTCGCATTTATAATATTAGTAGGGATAACATACTACACTACCTCTCTTTGAACTCTTTGTCAGTAAAAGTCTAGATAAAATTTGATAAATCATCTTAATGAGAGAAGCACAATAAATGTAGGAGAAAAGAAATATAATACAAAATGATAACAAGCTTATTGTATAATAAAAAAATAGTTGGGAGTTAATTTTATCCTACTAATTATCGAAATGAAAAAAATTGTGATTCTTACAAAACATATTGAATTGATGTTTATTAAATCTTTACGATAATGAAGCTTAGATAACAGAATAACACATAGGATGTAATTTATCTCAGAATTACTTGTGGTTCCCGCGGGATCACGGCATAACATTTGTATCGTCTATGAAGTCACGTGACATATTGTAAATATTGCTGCCAATTAATTCCTTATCAAATGTTTTAACACGTTTTATACATATCTCTTTCTAATGTCGAATTTCACCTAAACGAAGCCACAGCCAAAATTAGGCTCCAAAAAAGAGCAATTTATAGAAATACTAGCTGCGCCCCGCGGTGTTACCCTCGGATTTCCGGGATGTAAAGTAGCCTATGTGTTATTCCTGGACGTCAGCTTCCTGTATACAAAATTTTAAAAAAATCGGTTGAGCCATTTGAGTGTGAAGAAGTAACAAACATACACATACACTCACAAACTTTCGCAATTATAATATTAGTAGGATTAGTATCATGAACAATAATATATATAATAGTTATATATTATTTTTAACTCAGACCCGTGAAGGCGCCGTGTATCAAGAGACTCGCGAAGTGGTGACCATCAACGAGTGGACGGACCGCGTGTACCAGAACACGATGCAGGAGCACATCATCACCAACGTGGTCAGCGGGCGCAAGATGAGGATACAGAAGTACAACTTCCCTGACACAGGTATACACAAACTTTATTATCATGAAGTTTTCTTTTGTATGTAATAAAGTGGCAAACGAACAGACGGTCTATTTCATGGGCAGTTGTCACTGGCGCTCAATGACATTCGCAGCATGCCTATTGCGAGTGCTTTGCCAGCCTTAGTTTTTGAGGAAAAAGGGAATAAGGAAATGGCAGGAAAGGGTGGGAATAGGGAAAAGTGTAACCGGTTATCTCCGTCACCGGACAAACGCAGTCATTAATGACTACTTCACACCGATCTTCTGTGAGAAGACGGTATTTTCCCGGTCGAGTTAGCCTATGATCGAGCTGTAACTGTCTACAGCGAGACTTTACCGCCTTATAGTTGTAATATGGCTAACAAAAACTACAATCCACAACGTATCATATTATAATCGTACTAGGAACGTCTCAGGACCGGCATGAAACACGATATGATTTAGTATATGTATATAGAGATCAGTAACGAAACGATCTAATGGGCATAATAGTCTCACACTTTATGCAAATATTTTTGTCATGACACGTTCCTATCACGGTCATATAAACATACTCTATAGAGGGTAGAATCTGTAATAAAAATGAATATTCCAACAAGTTTTTTCTATATATTTCAGTCATTTGGAACCCTTGGGCGGAATTCGCTAAGGAGATACCCGATTTCGGTGACGACGAGTTCCCGAACATGGTGTGTGTGGAGGCGGGCCGGGTCGCTGCACCCATCGTGCTGCTGCCAGGGACCGCCTTTGAAGCCTCACAAATATTACAGGTTGGAAAAGATCACACTTATAGTATGAGAGAAATAGGATTAGCTAGTCTCTTACTGATATTATTTTGGAATGAGAAATATCTAATAAAAGTCAGCGGTGGCCTAGTGGTTAAAGGCCCGCCTCTCACGCAAGAGGGCGCGGGTTCGATCCTAGCAAGTACCAATGTGATTTTTCTGAGTCATATGTACTTTCTGAGAGTATTTAGAGCCCAGGTGAAGGAAAACATCGTGATTAAACCTAGACTTATAATTTTACAATTATAAGTCTGAAATCACCAACCCGTCTTGAGCAAGCGTGGTGACTAATGCTCAAACCTTCCCCATGTGAATTCTTCTGCTTTTGCTCCTCACCAGTGGGCTCTGATAGGCTGATGATGAGAAATATCTCAAGGGCGTATTAGACTATTGTTACCATGGAAGAGAATGGACCAAATATAGAAGTTGATTCGTTTTGGACTAACGATAGATAGAATAAGGATATGGTGTAGTCACTGCATGAGCTTTTCTATTGATTAATTTTCAGTCAACACTGATCTGAAAATTTACAGCCCTCCCTCTTAATAAAAAGAGAAATTTATTGAACATATACTCTAAATTATATAAGATGATAAAAAAAATTGTATTAAGAAGTAGATACTATTAAAAGGGTCTAAAGAACATGGGCTTTGCAAAAATCTTGATTTCTTTTATGTACAGGGTGACTGGTGAATTACTATCAATATTTAAGGAGAATACTCGGTACATGATTCTCATTCGAATTATGTAAAAAATAGGTACTTAATTTTTCACCAAATTTCCGTATAAATAAATAAAGTGTGGACACGTTCCAAGTGTTCCAAGTGTGGACGCGTGCGGCGGCGTGCTGATACAACACCACGCCGACGCACGCGCGTGTGTGTGTGTGTATACCTAATCTGTAGGGTGTTCACACGATGCGTAATTAATTACATAACTTTTGGTTAACTTTACTTAGAAGTTTATTAATATTTATGTTATATTAATTTTTATTTTGTCATATATGATCGTTATCACGTCCTCAAGTATCGATAGTAATTCACCAGTCACCCTGTATATTAAAATATTTTTGTTTCCAGGTGATGTAACCAAGAGACGCCAAGCTCCAAAGCCGTCCACTGAGCGTGTCAATTCGCCTGATTATAACTATTATGACAATATTAGCCCCAACTAACGTAACCATGTTTTGAATATTTGCCGGATAATATGTAGAGACTGTATCTAATAGGAACCAATAAACTGTATACGAAGGTAGCTTAGTAACGATAACTAATAACTCATATCATATGTTTTAACGTCCCTCTAAATGTTTTCCACATAATAATTTTGCCATGAGTTTAAAACGTTGAATGTTAAAGCCTCTTAGGTTTTATGAAGTAATTTAAGATGTTAATGCAAGGAACTACAGCTGTTATACAGCTTTACAGCTTATGTTAGGTTTTTGTAATGAATATTCCAGAACATTCCATCCCCAACATTACTTTTGCACAATAACTATGTATGTACTTCCTCATAATATCTTCTAAGTGATGCATTTCATATGTACTTTATTTTCCTTGTATGTCTCAAAGACTTGCCTTTTGTCTTCCAGTCGTTTTGTTTCTTGTTTTATCATATTTTCTATACTTTAGGGCTCCTGTTAGTTTTTGTTAAGTATTGACGTTAATGGCAGTTATGATAAATGTTCCCTATTTTTCAATGTACCCTCATGCTATAAATACTTTTTAAATACTATGAATCCTTTTATAACTAAGGAGTGGTTGTAAAAAGAATTTGAAACAATACTCATGACAATACTTTGATTAGTAACTTATTTTTTTATATAAGCTGTGGTTTTAATTTATAAACTCTAGTTATGTAATAGATCAATGTCCACATCGGCTTCCTTATGTTTTACAATACAAGAGATTTCATACTGAGTTCATAATAAAATACAATAATGAGTTATAAATGTACATAATGAAGACAGTTGTACAAATTGTTATTTTTTTTAAGTACATTATATTTTGTACAATTTTTTTTTCATTTGGAAACGTTTTGGAGGCTTTTAAAGTATACGACAAATAATATAAGAATACGTACTTAGATGTAATAAGTTCCTTGTTTTTTAAGATTTAATTACAATTATCTCGGGAATAAAGAATTGAAATGGTCATTTGCTATACATTCCTATTGTGATGTTAATTTGCTAGTTCCCATAAAAATTGGTATTTGGTCTTTCTGAAAATAATACTTGGTATGGAATAACTGTTAGAGCTCTTAATATCGATATCATTTACAACGAATTTTTACTCTCTAATATAAGAATGTATGAATATCATTAAGGTGGTTTTAAACATCAAAATTAGCAACAGTGTACTTCCATAGGTGCAATAAAGTGAAGTAATTAGATCTGTGTTGTTTCTTTGTGTTTTCACCCTTACAGAATACATAATAATAGAAAATAATACACATATAATTTTAGATGAAATCTATTCTCTAATAATCATTTACAATACTACTATGTTGAAGCTTCACTTGTTTGAGGTTTTGTGTCCCAAACTCCGATATCTTGAAGAATGTCTTTTTTAGATTCAAAGTATTCTTTATACCACATGATATGATCCTTTTTCTCTTTGACAGTGTAAAAAGCATTTTTTGAAAGTCCCACACAAACCAGTTCCATAAAATGCCTTATAGGGCCTTTGGTGGGACACCAGCCATCCAAATGTGAATCTAGGAAGATGTGTTCAGAAAAATGAACATTTTGTTCTTCTTCCATGCCTGAAATAGAGTTTGGTTAGTAATAAAAGACAAATGGAATTGACTTATATAAAATTGTATAAGCAACAGTCACTATTGCCTTGAAAATTTGCTTAAAAAATTATATTATATTATTTCTTATATGAATGACTTTAAACCATAAATATTATACGAGTATACTAGCTGACCCGGCGAACTTTGTACCACCCTATAAACAAGAAATATCTGTGACCTTTTTATCTGAATGAAGTTAATTTCTATATCAAGTATAGCTGACTCGACAGACTATGTTCTGTCTTCTTAACTTAGTAATTGAATTCTCATTGGTATATTAACAAGTGTTTATTATTCTAATGCTTTTCTCTAACTACGTGAATATTATTGCCCGTGACACATTATTTTGATAAAAAAGTGAAATATTCTAGTTTATTTTCTAATTTTCGTAATTTTTTTCTTACATAAGAACCTTCTCCTATATTTAATTATCACCTTCTCCTATATAAAATAACAAATACAACAAAAAAAAAGAATTTAGTGAAATCGGTCCAGCCATTCACGCGTGATGCTTCGACCAAGGGAAAAAAGGATTTATTTATATATTTATATATATAGATTTCAAACTATTCACCTTGCTCATTGTTAATTGGAAATTTCCACACTTTCCCTTGTTCGGTCCAGAGAATCATTTTTTGGAAATAATTAGCGGGCGGTTGTGAGGTTGCTAATAGCAGCTCCCGTTTGTCAAGTTCTTCCCAGACTTCTAACTTTGTACCATGATTGACGGGACCCTCTTTTTGGAAAATACCCAGCGGCTCCCCACTGAATATATTCACTGTACTTATTTGTGGCAAACTGTGGAAATAAAACATTTATTTTATAACACTTGACTTTCCAAATCCCATCAATGTTTAATGGAACACTAATATTAAAAATCTCATAATTTTATTGTCACTTAATTACTGAAATCCATATTAACAGTTCTTTAGAGTATGCACTTAATACAGCACAAGGAATGAATTATTGATGTCATTTTAATAGTTTTGGATACTAGGTAACAACTAACAATCCACAATATACCTACATATATTTATAAGAGTTGTTTAATCTTGAAATGTGCCTCCGTGAATGTTAACAAATTAAAATTCTACTCTATATTCAAAAATTCTTAATAGAATCAATGGAATCAATATATATTTTGTTACAATATAGTATTTACACAAAATTTAATATACTCAATCAATATTTATTTTATGAGTTACATTAAATATCATGTCCAAGTATTTAAGACATATAAATTAGGTTTTATATTTCTATGTACAGTGTAAACTCTATATAACGACACTGAAGGGACCGTGCATTTTAGTGCGTTATAGAGAGTTGCCGTTAAATAGAGGGAAGAAAAAGTAGAATTACAAAAAGACAAAGTTTGTTTCAGACTACTGTTAGTACTTATGTACATAAAAAAGAATGTTATAAAGTCTGTTGTTTTTGTTTGACGTGTTTTGCTGCACCAGTAATGTTGTATTTTTTACATATTTTATTCATATCTTGCGATATTGAGGCATATTGGTGAAGAACGAATTTCTTAGAAAGTTTGGTATGCATGATTACGACAGTGGAGTTTATTGCGGGCTAGGATAACAAAGCGACAAAAAAACGTACACAGCTGCGCATTTTTTACTAATTTTAACAACTTAAAGGGTACTTTTTATTACTTAATTTTGTCGTTATTGAGAGTGACTGTGACGCTATATAGAGTGTGTCATTGTATGGTAGACAAGCTAAACCAACCAAAGTCAAATGATTTCGACGCTTTAGAGAGTTTGTCGTTAAATCGAGTGTCGTTATATGGAGTTTACACTGTATTTCAAAACAAAACTTATACCATGATAAGCTTCATATAAATCTTACTTTCTGTTTGGTCTAGTCTGTTGAGAATCTCTCTGATTTGTGGATTTCCTCTGATTGTATCTGATATTATCTGATTTAGACTTTTCCACCAGACGTTTAACTTGTTGGCCTCTATTTTCCCACTGTGCCGGATCTTCCCTATCTTTAGATCTGTCTACCTTCATGCCAACAATCAGGTCACTGGAAAAAATTAATTTATAAAATAAGTTTATTATTGTAACATATGAAATTATGTAACAATGCTAGCCCTTATTGGACCTTGAAAATTCTTAGTTTATGAGTTTTGGATATACACTTTAATGCATACCATTTCATCAGATGACTTCAAAATAAATTCAACAAGTAAAATTTGATAAAGAATAAATTAATATGACATATTAGATAGACATGTAAGGAGATTAGTTTAAAACAATAAGTTGTTGTTGTTCAGTTGATTAAAACAATAAGTTTGTGTGAGGCAATTATTATATGTATATATAAATAATAATATTAATTTTATCAGAATAATTCTAATATTCACTATATAAATGATGATAATTATAAATTTTGTCAGTCACTAAAGAATTTGTAATATTACCTAAGAGTTGTAGATGTTTGATTGATTTTGCCGAGTACTCTGGAAAGAAGCTCTGCCTCGGTTTGTTTCACATTACCACCGAGGGCCTGGGCAACGTCTTCGGCGGCTTTTGTTATGGATTCCTCTAAAAATAAAATGTTATACATACACTGTAAATTTGTATGGGAAAGTTAATAAAGATATGGCATACCTATTTTTTCAATTTTAACTTCTTCATCTGCCTTTTGCTTCTTTCGTCGCTCGGGCGCTGTGGTAAATCTCTCTCGGTACTCACTATCCGAGATTTTAGGTTCAGCCATCATACTTTTCAAAAGAGATTGAATTTTATCAGTGGCATCTGAAGATTTCTTTTGATCTTTGGCATTTTTAGTTTTGATCTCAGGTATTCCAGCATCGTGTTCTGGCACTTTATCCGATAAACATCTCATAAAATACTTGAAATCCTGCCGAATTCTTAACCTGTAAATATTTATACATCACATGAATGCATAACCCGATAATTTATTAAACAGTTATTTTTTAATAGTTAGAAATAATACCTCGATAGCATTGTGTTTAATAGAAAAAATCAAATAATTAGGATTTTTCAAAACAATATTGAAAGATATGAGTTAAGGTTGATACTTGATAAGTTATTTGATAGTTGACAGTTTTAAATTGTCAAAAATGACAGTGGGTTTTGATAATCTTAACTGAATCTAAAGGAAACGCCGCTAACTAAAGAAGAAGAAGAACTGAATCTAACTTATTTAAATAATATTATTATAGTGTTTGCATATATTTAATAAGATTACATAATCAAAATTGATAAAAAAATATGAATCTTACAGAGGTATGAATACATACTTTAAAGTTGTAATTTCTAATAAATAATATGGTATAAGTTGTATAAAAAATATAATTGCTGACAATATTGCATAATATTTTTAATGACATGGATAATTGATTATGAAAATATATTTATTATATAGGGGAGACTGGGTAACAGTGAATCATTTTTTTTAAAGAAGTGTTACTCCGTAGTTTATGACAAAATGATACATCTTTGAAATTAAATGATAATGCAAATATCTAATGTCTAAAATAAGAGACATTTCATTGCGTGTGTTATACACATTTACAAGGTAAAGGCACTTTAAAAAAAAAATTGAAATGATCCACTGTGGCCCGGGAACGGGTCACATTGGATCACTGCACGGGTGACAGTGAATCGGCTGGGGCACACAGGATCTATTGCAAAGAAATATTAAAAAAACATCAATTTTAATATTATTATAATATTTCTACTTGTACTAGTTTCTAGACAGTCTTTTACGTCAAAATAATTTTCTAAATTTTCTAAATTTCTACATTTTCTAAATTATCGAAGAACAAACCACATTATAGCGATTGAAAGACGACCTAGCAACAGCTCTAATTTTTAGCCATCCGAAATAAGTTTTAGTGTCAGTAGTGGCCTAGTGGTCAAAAGGCCCGCCTCTCGTGCACGAGGGCGCGGGTTCGATCATGGCGAGTACCAATGTGATTTTTCCGAGTCATATGTACTTTCTAAAAGATTTTAGACATCACTGACAGACGGCGAAGGAAAACATCGTGAGGAAACCTGGACTTATAATTTCACAATTATAAGTTTGAAATCGCCAACCCGTCTTGAGCAAGCTTGGTGAATGGTGGTTAATGCTTAAATCTTCTCCATGTGAGAAAGAGGCCTTTGCTCAGCTGTGGGCTCTGATAGGCTGATGACGATGACAAAATTAATTTTAGAGCGTTACTTATCTGTTCTTCAGTATGAAGTCCAATAGTAGTCTTTCTTACTACATTACAAGGTATTTTTACCTAAAACATAAAGTAAAATAAATCTTAGCTTGTTGAGTTACAATGGATGAACAGTTCACTGTGACCCAATACAGAATGATTCAGTGACCCATTGACCGTTATAGAAAAAGAATATAAACCAAAAAAAAAACTGTCTAACTCGAGGACAAATCAATATGTATTACAACGGATGTAAGGTATGACAATTATACGTCATTGCAAAAACAATTATTTATTCAATTAGGAAATTAATAAATTTAAAAAACTCGTAAAAAAATAGATTAGGTACTTATGTAGGGTCCAGAGTGAGTGCCTCGCAAACAGGTATAACCGAACGGCAAATAAAGGTTTTTTTTTGTGTGCGTGAGTGCAACATATACTATGTTATTGTACATTATCCACTGTGACCCGCGATTCACTGTGACCCAGCCTCCCCTACTTATCTTTTTATGTCGCAGGTGTTTATTCTCGTAGACATTAATGTTACTTAGCTGGAGTTGTTGGATAGTCTAATTCAGTGTTTTTCAATATATTTGATATCGCGACCCCTTTACGTCTTGAAAAATTTTAGCGACCCTTGTACCATAACAGGCAAGGAAATTATTAAATTTAAAGTCTAAAGACACATTAAAGTTAAAGACATTATCTGCAATGGTGGACATCAAAACAAAATAAATAAACTTCAATTACAAGCTGATTTGATAGATAATATTTCAAAAATAGCACTATGATTTGACATGCTTTTGAGAAATAAGCAAGCCCATACTTTAATTTGGTTTTATTGTAGTATAAAACTTTATCTTTTTCTTTTTGCCGGCGACCCTCCGATTAATTCTTAGTGACCCCCCCCTAGGGGTCGCGACCCACAGTTTGAAAAACACTGGTCTAATTTAACTATTAGCGCATGGCTATCTATGTCAAGTGCCACATGATAATAACTGCAGTATTTTGTAATAAATATATTAAGTGTCTGATACATACAAGTAGAGCAAATATTTTTTTATCGTTCTTCGTAGTTGATGATTAACTTTCTGTACACATAAGCTTTATGTATATTTTTTAACAAGACTAACATTAAATATGCTATAACTCAAATTATACTTTTAGGGTAAGATAACTTTCCTCGTCCTTTTATGTTACTAATTATACTTATAGAGAAAGGAGTCTCGTACATTTTTAAGTAGAAAATATATAACCTTTATTTTACTATTTTATACTATAAAATTGAATAACATAATTTAATAACGTCTGGAGTAATATTACCTATTATTTTTGTTAATTGTTAGGTGCACTCCAAGGATAGTTTTTAAGGAAAGAAATATTCGAATAATTGCTGGGAAAAGCCAAAAACAGCCCTTTTCCTTTTCCTATTCAAACGAATTTCTTTTGTTTTAGTTTTGGCACGCGACATAAAATGCATTAGTTTCTCACGTCATTACATCTGTCAAACACAAACCGCGTTACCAAAAGTGTTTTATGATTTTTAGTTATTTATGTAATATCTCGTTCTGTGAAAAATTATTGAAATACATACTACTACAATGTAAATGAAATAAACGCGAGTGAAATAATAAATCTAGCATTACTTATAGGACTTCTCTCCAACTCCTATCAAATTAAAAATCTTTAGAGATTTTTGCTAAACATTGCCAGTGATTTCACGATCAACGCCAGCTGAGAAACTCAATGCATGTGTAAAGTCCTCCGATTTTTTAAGACATGTTAAGGTATTTTTAGTTGTTGAGTTGCTAAATGACCAATTTGGACACGTCATTCTCTGAACAACTCATTGACATTTGTAATGGCAATTTTCCTATAGACATGTTGACTGGCTGCGTTAACTTTCCTCAAAATTTTTGTCAGTTAATTTGACCAAAAGGTGTTTCCAGATGTTGCTAAAAATTACAAAAACCATGATTTGTTGAGCAAACGAGCTATGTTGACCGCAAAAAAAAAACAGATGTAAATTAATTAAATTTCAACATTCAAAAACAAACCACAGCCTAATTGAGGACATATAAATCAGTTGATTCGACTACTCACACAAATGACGTTAGTTTGTTGACGAACTATCCTCCAGGAATTATAAACTAGCTACATTTGACAGGATTTGCCACATCACAATATTAAATTAAAAGTTGGATCGGTAGTTATAATGCTACGAAATATTAACCAACCGCGTCTTTTCCAACGGCACACGGTTAGCAATAAAAAAATTACAGCACAAGGTGATAGAAACTATTCTAAAAAAAAGTATAAAGGAGATGTTTTGATACCACGCATTCAAATGATTTCGACTAATGTACCATTGAGTTTATACAACTATAGTTTCCAGCACGGCTTGCTTTTGCTCTGACCATAAATAATTAGTCATAGGGCCAGTCATTATGTAGTAGTATTATTAAGCTAGAAAACCCATGTTTCTCACATGGTTAATTGTATGTTGCCTGTTCCCGTATTGGAAAAGCATTAGATTTATTTATCTATGCGTCAGATAATTTACAAAAAAACATCGTATCACAAAGCACTGCAATGAAAATAAAACATCCTAGTTGACGTTCTTTAGTGTCCCAGAAGGGTTTCCAAAGTTCATGGAAGCGAAGATATTTTGGTCACTCGAACTAAACCTCACGCCGCCTTATTATCATGGTGACGATTCTGTTCAGAAGATTTTTTTGCGCCGATTATAAAATAATTAGGAACAAAAATTGCCCTTATTCTAAATCGTTTTGACAAATCGAAGTCTGTTAGGTTAGCTAGTTAAGGAGGAAAAAAACAACACAAAAATACAAATTCTTATTAACTGATTTATTTTGTACAAATTAATAAAAGTTTATCGGTGTCATTTGTATGGAATTAGAAAAAATTAAATAAAAATGGGATTGATTTAAAATGTTCTTATATTTAAATTAACTGATTTGCTCGTACGTTCGTAGTCTTGTAGTCAAAGGACAAAGTCCATGACAGACTTAAGTTTATAATTTTTGGACTTGCAGTAGCATTTACATTTTAAAGGAATAGTTAGGAGATAAATGTATATTATAAACAAATGATACATAAACAAATGATGCGTATACTACTAGATAAGAGAAAACCTAACAATAAAAAGTAGAAAATTACCGAAAAGTCTTAAAAATAAGCAATGGCTGACGCAACGTGTACTTAAATACATACTCCGTCATTTAAGGATTTTATAATTTTAAGAATTTTAGTTTCAAAATTGACTGAAAATTAATTTTTCATTCATAGCTTTATTGTTTTAATATCTTTGATAACTGCTGTTCGGTAGTAGTATTATTGTTCTTTGATCCAGATACGTAAGTTAGGAAAAAAGTTAATATGAAAAGAGACTCCCGATTTTTATTATTCTTGTAGCCTTATAAAGCAGAAAAGACAGGCAAGAGTCACATTTCATATTAAAATTGTGCAATAGTAAAATAGTTCTTTAAGTAATAAAGTTTTTTCTAGCTTTAACACTCAAAAACTTCGAAATCAAATCATCAAAACATTTATTTGGTGTTGCTTGTATAGTTAAAAAGATTAGGTTGCCCAATCTGATTTAAGTCTAAAAAGACTAAAAAGTTCGAAAGTAATTTCTAATTCATTTTTATTTCCTAAAACTCTGCTCTTATTGAGCATTTGTTACGAATATACCTATAAGAAGTTTAATATCTGTAATGAGACCGTTAGGCTCTTTAGAAGTACTGAAAATTTTTATTCAACGACGAATTTCAGATAATGCATCTTCCAGAGTAATAAACGCAACACGCAAACTTTCAGTCTTGGTATTTTTAAGTTGTGTTTTTTAATACCGCGACGTAGAGGGAAGTTTAATTTCGCAGAAGCTAAATTTAACTCTTAGATGTTTGAACATCACAAAGTATCACGATAAAATAAATAAGGAGCAAATGGTATGGAGTTTGATCTTTGAACAAGTGAAGTTTGAAGTTCCATTTTATTAAGTCGACACCAAAGATACAGGTCAATAAGAATGTTTTTCTTCATACGAAGTTTTTTCTATTTCTTCTGATTTTTATACATTATTTATTTCTTCATAAATCAAATTTTGAAGTGCTTCCGGTGTATTTTAAAACAATTAAGCCTAAGTATATTTTGAAATACCATTGAGCGTTATTCAAAAAATTATTAATTTCCCCTAGCACATAATTATAAAGGAAGAGATGGTATAGAAAATACTAAAGAGACAAGGTTTGTGCACCGCTACTGGTATCTGGTTTTGTTTTATGACATGACATAGTTTCACAATTGCGGAAATAATAAGTTAATTGAATAAACCAAAAGGAAAACCTTAAATTATTCAGAAAACAATTGTTATTAGGGTGTAAGACTGAATACAAAGAAAAATGTTAATGAACTCCCATAAAAATTAACACGTTTTAAGCTCCATAAACACTATAGAGAAATATTGTATTTTTGTCGAATTGGCAAATAATCCCCAAAAACGGATAAATATATCCATTTTTTTATCATTTCACGACATTATGTTTAATTTTATTACTCCCTTTTATCATAGTTGTTCTAAGTATGGACATTTACCCTAAAATATATTACACCTTTTCACTAGTAAATCAGATTATAAAAGATTGCTTTGTTATTTCGTTATTTTTGGTTTCCTTTGGGCAAACATCGCTTTCTAAGGATAAGAGTGCTTTTTGTTTAGTTTTTTTGTGGTCTTTGTTTTATTTTGAGGTAGAATATTAAAAAGATATTATGAGGTCTTTATTATTGTAACAAAAGTTTGTAACAAAACCTTTTTTTCCTAATTTTATTTTTTTAGGAAATCGTAAACTTTGAGAACATTTTTATTATGAAAATTAATGGTAATAGCTTTATAACAAACACTAAGCATACATATATCATAACATAATTCGTCCCTTAACAACACCGCGTAAAGCGAATATTGGCGGTTTTTACATTTTAATGCAATAGGATGAAGCTGCGCATTACGCGTCGAACCGAAATCATCAAAATATGTGTATCTAATTATTTTTTAATCGCTAACTAGTGTATGTATTTAGTAGCAATAGAAAAAAACACAGATAGTTTAAATTAGACAGTTTTTTTCATCTCCGAAAAGTTGGTAAAAAAGACATAAGCGGTGTTGTAAGTTAAGATAAATATATAGTATTTATCGCAACGGAAAGGTTTAAATTAATGCCGTCTGAAACAAAGGTAATTCCTCCAGCCAACTGTTATCGAGAAGTCACAATTTCCGAGGAATCCCACCCATGGCTATCAGTAATTTTGTTACATCTAGCGTAGTTCGCATTATCTAACTCAAACAGATGCACAATACAAATACTTATGTAAACAAAAACATTTTTAGGGGATTCCAAAACAACTCGGTGGGAGTTCTATAAAAGAGAATCATAATGAATCACGTGACTACTATTTGAACACAGTGGGGACCAATAAAAATCCTCTAATTAGTTGAGAATAAAAAAAAGTAAATGGATAAACTTCAACTTAACAAATTTGATAATGATAAGAGTGATAAGTTTTTAATGTTTATAAATAAACACTGCCAAGAAGAAAGTATTAATCATTTTACTTTTCTTGTTAGGACTTTGGATTATATAGTTAGTTGAACTTATTAAAAAAATGGAGCAAAATGATATTTAAAACAAAAATTATCTTTTTAAGGCACATTTATTCCGGACACCATAATCAAATGCTATCATACAATTAACTTTCATGATAATCCTACAGTCATATATCGGTAACAAACTATAAAACAAATTATTAATTCTAAATTTATATCACAAATTCAATTGCTATACTGAAATCTCCATACACTAGGCGACCATAGTATTGATGGAAGACTGTTAATTCAATGTAACTGAATACATTACAATATCTGTACATGTTTGCATCACTGTACCGTCTGGTATCAGCTATGTATTTACTTATATATAACATTTATGTATCTCAAATGATACAACCAAATAAGGATACTCAATTTATACATATGTATAATGGAATTCTAAACTTCCTAGTAATTTAAATAGCAACTTGTATTCAGTACAAATTATACATATGATTCTAGTATTAAATACTGTCAAGCTCAACAAAGATATCAGCACCATAATCAAAGTAAACTATTCACTCAGCTATTGACTGAATTTTAAGTAAATAACTAAACTTAAACAAATATCTTAACAAATAATTCTTATTATAACATTCGCATCAGCAATTTCCATATAAAATAATCTTACATTAAGTAAAATGCTTTCTTGAGCAAATCTTAAGTAGAATTTACATTTCCTAATCACTAAGCATAGAGTAAATTAAAAATAATGATAAGAAAAATTCACATCAAATGGAATTATTAAATACAAGTCAAACTTAACGCAAAAATTTTGGCTCATAATGTGGGATTGTTTCGACCAATCAGAGATCAAGTATTAATCAATAATATATAAGTGGACTCAATACAAGCTGTGGAAGTACTTATATAAAGATAAGTTGAACAATATTGTTATTGTTATATTGCCAAATATGTTATACCTATATGTCTTCTTAACTAAATTACTTATATATATATTCTGAAAGCCTAATTCGCTTTACTTGTGTGATGTATGTAAATTATATGGCACTAGACCTGTATGACACTCTGACAACTGAGATTAGATCCACAAGCCGTTTGTTTTATTTTGTTCTAGCCCCACATACTAAGGAGTTTAATATAAAGTTTTCCACAATAATGTTATTATATAATAGGTACTGTAATAATGGAATCTTATGTTTAAAATTCTCGTGTCACAATGTTTGTTCCCGTACTACTCCGAAAAGGCTAGACCGATTGTCATGAAATTTTTTGAGCAATTTGAGTAGGTCTGAGAATCGGCCAACATCTATTTCTCATACCCCTAAGTCATAAGGGTTGTTCATATACATACAACCCAAATTTTTTTCTTTTTATCACCAACCCCTATTTTTTTTTATATGGAAAAAAATCATAATATTGCATCCCCATGTATGTGGGGCTTGTACCGGCATCTCATAAAGTTAATTATTACTACCACAGCCATATTAGGAACTAATTTTAACAAATCCAAAGTATGTATAACCAGGTATCAGCCATAGCGTTCTATTATGTTCTCTTTGGGCCATATTAACGGTGTCTCCTTTGTAGAGACGAGCCACCGTTTGTACTGAGCATGATATTTGGGATTTATCCAATGGTCTAGCACTAGCATCGTCACCGGTGGCACAGGTTGTGATCAATCTAGGTTTAAGTGCTGGCTGCCGAGCCCAAATAAAGTAGCAGTTTGGTGCGTGAGTCAGATATACCACCTAGAAATAAGTTTAAATGGTTAGAAGAACATAAACAGGTAAAAAAAGGGCTATTCCTTTTAGACTATTATTGTATGATTTAAAAAAAGTAAGTGTCTTTTTCATGTATATATTTAATAGAGGCTTTTTAATGTCTATCAAGTGTGTGATAATTTTATTTACATAATAAAACACTAACTAAGGGCAATAAGTGTAAATAATGAGTGAGAAGTTAGTCATTGTTATTCTACAATCGCCTTTATATAATTTGCTTTTATTTTCTTTTTTATTTATTTAACTTACTGGGCAAGTAAGTATATTTCTTTTTATATATATTGATGAGAATTTTACTTACTTGAGCATATATTATGTATAAACCACTTTCTTTGATGATGAAGTAATTATTTGTGAGTTCTATTTTATTTTCACTGTCCTTTGTTGACACCTCCAGGTCTCTAACCCAAGGGCCGATTAAAGCTAAAAATAAAAAAAAAAAACCTTTTTATACTTTTGTACAACACAATCACATAAGTGATTAATGCAATGCGCCTTTCTTAGTTACTAAAATACATATTAAAAATTTTGCCATACATATATTTATAATTAAGTTCATACCTAAAGACTAAAATAGTATCCGAAGCTATAAAAAATCCTAAAATACATTAAGTGCAATACAAACCGCCATGCTATTTATAAATCATTGATAAACGAAGTTACTATCTGTATCTGAACATTTGCTAAACTCATAATTTGTTTCCTAAAATAGTTAATTAGCTAAATATATCAATGACCTCATTTAGAGTTCTAGCAAAAGCATTAAGTGTGTAAATAAAAAACTTTTCAATTGTCTACTTGTGATTAATTTGATAGTGTATGTGCAATATTAATTGCTTTCTTGGAGTTATCTGATATGGCTTTACAAGTGTTGATTAAAGTTAAGTGGTAGGTTATATGAGAATATTGCCATCACTTAATAGTTGTTTATGTAAAAAATTGTGTTAGTCACTGTGTATATATTTTTAATCTCATTACCTACATCTGCTTAGTAACACAGTATATGACATCTCTTATCATTGAATACAGATTATATATTTATTTATATGAGTAAAAAGTTTGCATCAGAAAAATTATGAATTTATATATATCTTTCCTTTGAACATTTGTTTCATATTAAAAAATAATTAAATAATCATGTCTGAATTAATTGCTTTATGGGAATTATTAATGATTTGTAACTATATATGATTAAAAGAATTTTCTGTATACAGTGGTATAAGCTCAATCCAAGATTTGAACTTTATTCCTTGTAAATAAGATACATAATGCATTGTATATACTATGTTGATTCATAAATAGTATGTTTATTAATGCATAACTTAAAGCCGCTACCACACATCCTTTGGTATGTATAAATTATCATTCTAAGTACAATAGTTTGCTGTTTTTCAATGAAACCATTTTATTCTGAATATCTCAAATGTGACTCTGTAATATTGTTATAGTGGGAATAGTAAGATAGAATACTTACATTGTGTACCCAGGTTAAGTTCAGGCATGGCACCATTAAATTGAACGATGAGAGGCTCTGAAAATAAAAAAAATTAGTACCATTATTTTATTGAACTAATATTGATTAATTTGATATTTTTATGTAAAATATTAGGTGTACCTTTGTGGAATACAGGTAAATCTTGTATCTGTGCTACAGATTGACTAGGGGATTTTTTACTTGAATCCACAAGGAGCATGTCTTCACCAAGATCCTCGACGAAGTATCGTCTAGCATTTGGCGATATATCATTTTTATCGATGCCAGAGCGACCCTCGCGATGTTCCAGTCTTTTTGCTGGTGGCCTTAAGTGGGAAACCAATGGACTCTGAAGAGGTTTCTCGTTATTGATTAATCCATCTTTCAAGTTTTGTATTAAAAACTGATCTCTTAATACATCCAGTTGTCGCCGCATGGACGTCATCTCGTTCCAGTAATAAAACGCAATGGAACAACTTATTATCATACATATCACACTGAGCAGAAAGTTCAATATGAACAAAAGCTTTATTTTCTTGGAAGACGCTATAGAAAACGTAGTATTGATATGGACACCGACGTCTGTAGGCTTTTCTAAAAATAAGAATTATTTCAAATTATTTATGCTGTAAATATTTATTATATTTTTAATTATAAGGAACTGAATATCACCTGTCGTCAGATGTATAACAGTCCCGTCGTTTAATTTATTATTTTTACCCGCATTCAAAAATATATTCGCACCACCTGAAGAATTAAGAGGGACTCCTTCGCTGAGATTTACTTTTCGTTCTCCGTCCATTATAAATATTTTGAATTACTATACTAGACACTATACTACCGTTTACACTATCATTGGCGTAGGCGTCGCCAATCGTAAACAAAGGAAGTAAAGCTTAAAAGTTCGCACAGACCGCACGATAACTGGGACTTGATAACAAAAAAACAACACTAATAAATACCGAGAACAAAAACACTTATAGTTTAATTTAACTTTAACTTAATATTAAACGTTTTATAGTTAATAAAAGGTCCTTCTTCTTCATTAAAACAAGTCCATCCACCACACAAAAACAAATAAAAAATAAATAACACGAGCAAAACTTTCAATACGTCGCTCGCTTACTGGTTGGCATTGGAACGCGCGCGCGGCTTGACGGCTACTGTTGGCGCGCCAAATTCAAACTGTTAAGTGCGAGTGGAGAGACGAGCGCATTGAGAGCGAAAGAATAGAATGTAGGCCGAAGGCGTCGCGTCCGGCGCGGTCACGATCGTTTTACGTTGGAAGTCCGAAAGGCTTTACGATAAAGATTCGCGGTGCCGTATTTATAATAATCAATTGAACAACAAAATGCAACTCGTCAAATAGTATTATAATGCAGTGGTGTAAGTTGTAAATTAACCTCTGATTAATAATTGTAATGATTCATTTCATTATAAAAAATATATTAATTGATTTAATATTTTGATCACCCTTAAGTACCAAATAAAAAGTTATGTCCAGAATTATTATCAAAAGGTTCATTAATAGTGAGCTTGAAATAAATATATATATCTATGTATTACAAAGAAATAACATATTATAAAAATATAACATTATGTCCAAAATAAAAAACGTCCTAACTTTTTTTTTACAAAAAGATTGATTTAGTTTGATTAAGGTAATAAAGAAAAAGCTTCTTCCACTTTTATTACTTACATACTGGCAAAAATACTTTTTTGTTCACAGTTTTTAGGGATTTATTACATGTAAAACGTAAAGTATTTTGTATTTCCCAGTATTATTACCTACCAGCCTAGATATTTATAAAGTAATGAACCCCGCTTATGCGAGCTACTATTTCTCATTAACGTTGGTACACTTCCTAAAATTCTTATCTTTTTTATGACTGGAAGGCCGGAAGATAGTGTAGCAGTTGTAATAAGACGCCTATTCATAATTATAATACCAAAACAACACTACTTACTAACAAGTAAGTATGAATGCTTTATGAGCCATTGGTCCGTGTATTTCAAAGAATTAAAAAGTTAAAGATTATATTTTTAATATGTATTATTATTATTATTATTAAATATTATCTTGTTCTTTGGGAATATTATGTTGCATATTACGTATTTATATTTAAGGATTGGTATAGTCGTATAGTCTTTGGTATGTGCCAGCTGCTGCGTCTCTCGTTCAGTTAAGGGCTCAAATACACAAACGGATTCAATACAAGTTTTTCGGAAAACCGGTTTGTAACATATCATTTTTCTTAAAAGATAATAACTCTGTAAAATCTTGATAAGAATTAATCTTTTCTATGATATATAATTACTTGATAATATGCTTGTATTCTGTGATAAGTCACGGCAGATTTGTTTTCCATAGATTACACCATGTAATATGCATTTATGGAGATCCAACCACGTTTTAATATACATGTATTTAAAATAAAAGTTCTAATAAAAATGGTTCTAACAAATTTCTAAACTTTTCCTTGTTTCAGTAATATTACTATGCCCGCTTTATTACTTAAACATGATTTATTATATTATTTGTCCGAAAACAGTTGAGGAAACATGATATATTGTTTTCCTTTGACGTAAGTTATTTGTATATTCGATGTTATAACGCGCTTTAATAATATAATAATCTATCACAAAGAAATAACAAAACATAAGAAATAAATAAAGAAAACAGAACGAATTTATTTAATTTATTTCCTTGACTTCTTTTTTTATTGATTTTGTATATTTTTTAACAAAGTTACGTAATTATTATAGCCATGCCTTTATGCACTAAACCTAAAGTGAATTCTAAGACTACCATATGTACGAATTTAGCCGGTCTATTCAGGAACACGCGGCATGGAATGCTGCGTTCGGCGGGCCGCTGGTATCCAGGAGTGTCATATGTTCATCATTTAAGCGGTCTAAATTTAGCTATGCCTTATTTTGATTAAATAATAATTTTGTATTGTCTTTTTGTAGTCACTGATACTAAGAATCTGTTTGTATCCTAGATTTTAATGCACATGTTTTATTTTACATGTGAATATACTTCGATGAATATAATATAGACAATGTTTTTAAGTCCGTATCTTTGGTTAAGGAATAATAATTGATAATACACAGATTAATTTTGGATGAAAATCCTACGATGGTGGAGTGAAACTAGCATTTATAAATAATATTTTTTTCGTTTGTAACATTTAAAGTAATACTATTTTGATACTCAAAACTAGGAACTAACGAATTCTAAACTTGGAATTCTGTGGAACTTTACAAAGAACGCAGGTTCGATATTGAGTATCAGGTAGTCGAAAACACGAGGCAGGACCTTGACTACATCAGGATGGTTTTTTAATACAGTTAATATTATCTGATCTCTCAGACGCTTCCCGTCCTAAATTATATGTTTTTATCTTCTCTACAAATGTATAAACAGATTATATTTCTTCTAAGGCTAAAAAATTACTTTGTCTATGGCTGTAGATTTTTTTTATTTCTTTCTGAACATAAGACGAAAAAAAAACAATTTTGATTTAAATCTTTTTTTAGAAATTAACATTGGCATGTCACTAAAAATCTGGATTTATTAATTTTATTAAAATGATAGCCCCTAATGAGGGGTTAATGTTCTATAATAATGCTTACAATACATTTTTGACTTGCTCGTCTACGCTTTTGAATAGAGCAAATAACTTATGCTTGGTAGTAACTTGTACGTGTTACAAATCAGTAATTTGTTTAAATTATAAATATAGGTATAATTATTTTGAGATACTAGAAGTTATTAGTAGTTTTTACAGTAGTGTGCTCATATTTTGAACTACCAAGTGTTATAGATTATGTTTTAAACGCGTTCAGAATCGTACATAGGATCTGTTGGCTATTCCCGTTATGGCCGCGTCGGTATGCAACTCAAATAACATAGGATATATCTTTACAATACAGAAAACGAGTATTTGGTAATCTGTCATAAACGTTACTACTGAATTCTTGACAATAATACCTTAAGACACGGATAAGGAGCTAACATCGTAAAAGCTATAAACATAAAAATTCTTTAAGATCATAAAGGGAATTATTATTGTTTACTCACGTAAATTATTTTTTCTGAACACAAAGAAAAGTATAATGATATAAATGTTATTACAATTTATTTGTTCAGTGCCCCTACTATAAGTTAGCGTAAAACTACTCAACTCTCCTCATATGATAGCAAAAAAGTTTGTATATCAATGAAAAACTGAAAATGCTTAAATATAGTTTGACGAGCTACAACTTGTGGTACTGGTACATACAGAATAAAAATGAGATTTTGGGTGATTTAGAGAAGATATAAAGCTATAAAGTATGTCATGATTGATCTACAAATTGTTTGTCTAAAGTATTAAAGTTATTTTCAATACAATCCTTATGTAATATCTAGATAGTTGTAATAATAATTATTAATATTTTTCAATACATAATTCAGTACAAAAAGGATATTTCGCTCTTAGACTTTAAGCATCAATACAGTAATGTAGGTTGATTTATTTATATGAGAAAGATATAGATTTATATAACAAATTTTAAATTATAATTTTGTCTTAAAGAGTCGCTCTTAGATTTAATTTTCTGAGGCATTTATTTATTATTTGTTTGTTTATGGATTTTTTTTTTTGCTTTTAAGTTTTGCTGGTCTTCGAAACACGCATATTCAGATATGAGATGCGTGCACGCATGCATGTATTATTTAATACTTGGAATTATGAGTGTTTCATGTACACGAAAATGTGCTGAAGAAATTTGATCTGACTACGTGAATCATTACGACAGGGTTGTCACATTTTATACTTCTGTTAAAAAAAATTAAAAAGTAGCACTGATGTTAAAATAAAAACAAAGCAAAATTATGCCAAATAAAATAAAAGAAACATATTTCATTTATTACTGAGCAAAACAGGTAAAATGTATATTTTTTAAAATATTTATTCCTAAATTATTTTTTATTGAAGTTTTCACAGTGGCAACCCTAAAACCGCGGTTGAATCATTGTTATAAAGTTTAAAAAAATGTAGAGTTTGCATAATGGTATCACTGATACATTATGACTTAAATGTATATTTTCTTTGACGATTATTCATGCTTCCGGGGCAGGGAACATAATTAAAATAACACAAATTATCACACTAACTTGATGCACTCGGTACTCACACAATTTATATGTATATGTTTATCAGATAAGGATGAATTCAAAAATACCTATAGTTTTTGGATGAAATACCTGACAACCACTTACGTAATTTTAATATTATAAGAATGTCTTATCTTTACTTACAAATCTATTTAAAGACTTGAATGAAAACTCAGCGTTACATTATCGTGTGAGCAATAGTGATGTATCTAAATCGATGTAAATAATATTTAAATGAACTAAATTATATGAAACGGTAATTCGGTGAACGCTAATATGTTCCTGGATCCACTTCAGATGAATAACACTGTCAATGACCCACATTACCGTTATGGCAATGTTTACTTTTAGGTCGTACAATCTGACACACTAACACAAAGAGATTCAAAGATCTTATTAACATCATTAATTTAAGATGATTCTCTTTGATAACTTACGACGTATTCACAAAATCAATTATTTCTCATTTCTTTAGGATTTTTGTCATGTTTTAACTGATTTTGTTTTGTCGTAATAGATTAGAATGATAGTGAATGTTTAAAACACAAAAGATCGTTGTTTAAAAAAGTAATTTAACTTTGCTTTCCTCTCCTATTCGCGAGTACATATTTTGGTATATAATTTTGTTTTGACGTTAG